CGAAAAAAGGAAATTACCATGTAACCTCAACAGATGTTGGATCATGCATTTTGGAAAACATCCCCGTGGTTTACGACTTTACTTAAAAAAGTAGAGTTCAAACACTGAGACCAATACATGATCTAGCTATTACTTACACAGGAAGCCTAAAGTTTGAAGAACATGCCCCGTTTATTACTTCAAAATCTAGACAGCTAATTGGTTTCATAATAAAAAATTCCTTCACACCAGAGGCTAAGCGTACCCTTCACAAAATATGTATACGAATCTTTCTTGAATATTGCTCTTTGATCTGCTGAAACAAGAATACCACAGATAAGATAAAAGTGAAGGGCCAAAGACGCTTCACACACCGACTGCTAGTATGTGACTCCACTTTCAACTACACAGACAGATGTAAGAGCCTCTCCATAGAATTTTTATGTTATCGTCGGTCAAGGAACAATCTATTATTTCTATATGGACTCACAATTCTAATCTCCTGTCGAACCATGATCCATAACCCAGTCTGCAGACTCAGAAACAACGCATACACACTGCTTACAGTAAATTACCGAAAATTGTTACAGTACGGTACATTTTATTATGGAGTACGTTGCCAATACCTATCGTGACTGTGACGCTATTACAAACTTAAAAAGACTAGTAACACTATTACTTGACAGTAAAGAGCTTCATCAACTATTTCCTAAAATTCCACCCACCACTGAGGCACTTTATTGTAGAACGCCTAGTATCTAGACAGATCATGAATATAACGGACCCCAATTATCATTAATATGGATATAACCAAATGATGGAACACATCGTTTACCCTCTCTCATCATTAACTGATTATTAGTTATGCAACTATACTCCTACTCCTCACTTTCAGATTCCGAATCTTATAGTAGTTAAAATATTATTATTCTTCTCAATTGCCATGTCCATTTTTTATATTACAAGTAGAAAGATAACTCACTAATCTCATAGATGCTGATCAACTACGGTCGATCATAAGGAGCTAATAATGCCCCACATTCTTGTGAGTCTCTCAACGTTTTGTTAACTTACTTCGAAGATTTTATAATTCTAAACCCTTCCATATTCTTTGGTTTGCTGTCTATTTTGACGATCTTCAAACCGAATGTAATCTGATCTGCGTTTTTCCACTTTTACCATTGGTTATATTCATAGCAGTGAGATATACTAAATGGATATCTAACCCACAATTCATAAGCTTTAACGTCTGATTTGGTTGTGATGTAGAATTATGGTCTACTACGATATTAGTACTACTCTAATGATGGACTTAATCCTAAAATTGCACATTTGTCATGACGTAACTGCCTAATCTATGAGACCTTACATGTGTCACATCATTGTCTACACCAACTCATTGCGTCGTAACAATCACCAATATATCATGGAGAACAAACCTAGTCTAGGGATAGAACGACATATTTATTATGAATAAAATTTTGTTACAAAACTCGAAAGTGACCACGCCTGCAAGGCTGAGCCATATCGTTCAATCAATTCGAATTACCAATATATGTTCTTCCCGCCTTCTCCACCGCTGGATTTTTCTCCGTGTTAAATGTTAAATATCTATCGTCCCATTTGTCTTGTGTTCAGCTTTGAGGATTGGGTGGTTAAGGCCATGTGCTACTACAGTAATATGGAACTAGTAAAAACAGCGTATTTCAACAAGAAGCTTAGATTACAGCTGTATTCACACACACCACAAACGTAAGAGAGCCTAACATCACAAGAGAAGGGAGGGTGACATAGGACAGAAAATTTTGTTAAATTATGGCTTCTTATGATCATGTGGCGTGTCACGAACCAATGGTATTAATGCTAATTTACTATACAAAATATCTCTATAAGTCGTGTTTGTAGCGTTGAATCGGTTCTACTTCCTACAGAGTGATTTTATCGCAAGCAAAACTAGACAATTTGCTAAAAACGAAGCCTGCTCATGACCCTGTAAAATCAATAAAAATAAAAATGGGCTGAGATAGATCTAACAAAACAGGCGATAGCTATTAGATTATCAGAATACTGTTACCAGTACTATATTTTATAATTACACATAACCCTATACTTTTAGTTTCTTTTTGAACCACCTCCTTTTACGCAGTTCTTTGTCCATTCATATCATATTTACGTCTGCTTTCTCTAACCTACATAAAGGCTCTTACTTAAAAAGAATCTTAATAATGGAAAATTGGACTGAGTAGTCATACCTTCACTATTTCACCACAAATGACTCAATTTCAATATGTATGAACATTGTCTGCTTTGCTTCTCGTCTTTTTTTCTTACTCTCTATTGCAGCCCTCTCAAGATATGCCACCGATAACGCATACGGACCGGGTAGATTCGTCCTGCGTCATCATTAATGCCTCACATATTTCAGAGGGATATAAGATCACGGTTTACAGAAGCTCTCAAATTTACGTAGATTTACCACTGACTATCAGTTGCACGTCGCAAAGTGACCTCGGTAAAGCGCGCCAACTGTCATATTAACAATACGGATCTTACTAATATTGTTTGCATTCATAAGTGAAGAGTATTATCCCCCATACTTTTACCATCAACGTACATTATAAAATATCAAACTGAGCAACCCACCACGGTGAAAATTGTATATTCTATAACGATTTGATCTTGCCTGTTAGACAAAAGCGAAGTTTCGTCGTGAATTTCGGTTAACGGAGACGGCGTCGTTATTGAATGAAAATTGCCATGATTAATGTCTCCTTCTAAATACACGGCCTTCAGACGAAGCCATCTATGATTACTTTCTTATTTATGATACAATACTTAAGTTCACTCTGAAGAACTTTAAAGGGTCCTTCGTACGCCATTCCAAAAAGTCATCAAGATGAGTCGCGAAGTATGAAAATTTGTGCACTATATCGTCGACAGGTCCAACGAAGATATCGATTGATTGAGGTCGAGTTGGAACGAGTTTAACAGAAGGCATCATGTCTGTAAGCCTGCTTGTGTAAGACTTTATATCCATATTCATTGGATAAGATGAAGAATCCATGAATTATCTAGGAAGTCGAAGTGTCATTCCGTAAATTAGTTGTGCTGCAGTGTATCTAATGTCAGCATTCATTGCATTGCAGAATCGGGGTAACACAATTGTGAGATCGTCCGTCCATTTTGAAACAATTGCATTCGAAATTGAAACGTTTAACTATCAGGGAAATCGTTCTACAAACCTGTTTGTCTGTGGTTGATGGGCGATTGTTCGGAATCGTGTGATTCCTAGTAATTCGAATAGGCGTCCAGGGTCTGTAATGATAGTTGAATGGCAGTCGACTTTTCTCACCCATCGTTCGACGAAGGAGCACCCCAGTGTTCCGCAAGTAATGTCCTGGATGATGACTGCATCTGGCTATTGTGTGCAGTGATCCACACAACTAAAGTGGTAAGATTATCCATTCGAAGTTGGTAAAGGCCGTACCAGATAAAGGTGAACATGGTCGAAACTAGCATCGGGAGTTTCAAAAAAATTTAAGGGATATTTAATGTATCTAACCACCTTAGATTTCTGGCAGCCTACACAGCAGCGTACCCCCTTCCTCATTTTCTCACTTGTTCTTATACGTTTAATATGCAGTTCTAGGGCTGTCAAAGATAACTCGTGTTGGAGATCGGAGCCTTACTTCCCAGGCTGGACGAGTTTAAGTGGGTCGATCCCTTGGAAACTGTCCAATGAGGTTACACATGACAAGGCATCTGTCACTGCATCATTCACCTCAGAAACGTGTTGTGTGACTGGGATATATTGTGAAGTGTTGTCCTGTTGTCAAGACCTTCGATGTGGGAACTTATCCGAAGATCAAACAGTCAGGACATACGCATGTACGGAAGCGAGGCCTTAAAAACGTTGTCGACGAATCTGGAAAGTTTTGCAAAATTTCTTAACTGAAATGCATGCGCAAAAATTTGTCGAGTCCGACAGGTGTGATGATAGCAGTTTTAGGAATACCGTCTGCAAGCATAGGAGTTTGGCTATATGATATGGCCAGATCGATTCTCGAGAAAATAGTTTTACCTTCAAGGTAGCTGTCAAACGGTGAGTGTGCGCAACGGGTAACGATCTGGAGTGGTTTCCGTATTCAGTCACCGAAAGTCACCAGTTGGATGCCAATCGATGCTGTTTTCTATAGAAATTACGTGCAAAGGGAATGCTCATGAATGGCTCGACGGTCGGATGATTCCAAAGTCTATCACGTTGTCGAATTCGTCTTTAGCCAAGCTCAAATTTTCGAAAGCTAGTCAACGCGCTTTCGAGAATACAGGTGATCCTGTAGTCGTGATGTGATGTGTTACACATTGGTTGCTGGTTGCATATGGCGGATTTGTTGGCGTTTGGAATATCTCGAGTTACTTATAGAATATGTATTGGTAGCATGGATCGATCGTGTGACGTACTGTGACTGAGGACAATCTACAACCGTAAAAAGAAGTTACACAAATGAATAAATTAGTGTTTATATCTACCAACCTCCATTTACGCTTGTTGATGAGTAGGTTATGGTTTTGTAGCACCGGAAAGGAAAGTCTTCGTGGCATAATTTATTCCTTTGGCATCAAACTCCATGACTTCTGGATATCCTTCACAGTTATATACATGGTGAACAGTACACAGTGCATGCCAAGTGTCTCCACTTCCTGATAATCTTTCCTTTTAATGAATTTATGAGTTCTGTAAGAGGGGTGCATAATCAAAAACAGTTATAATGAGCCCGGAGAAAAACTCTGGCAACATCAGTTAGTCCTCTTGAACATAAATTTCAGGGCAGTCCGTCTCTTACACAAAATAGACGACCTTTTGTGTGGCGTAACAATCATTTCTGTTGACTAAGTTAAAAAAGTTGGATCGACCAAGAGATCACTGTTACAAAGACAAACACAGGCAACTCAAGCTTCTGTCCTTTCATAATTGAAACCGAAACTATTTCATCACATAGATATTGTTGATTGATAACATCGGAAACTAGAGAGGAATCTTCAATGTCTCAAGGTTGTGTAGTTTACCTGATTCTTGATAGCATTGTTTCAACGTATAATTTACAGCTCTCTTAAAAGGTAATGAAGTTGGCTTATTAAATATAAACAAAATATCTTGCGAGTTGTACTGTAGTTAACATATTGAACGCTTGGCTTATTAAGTCTGATGATATACCACTTGTATTATCAAGACTTTCCACTAAAGTAGAGAAGTAAAATGAATAGTATGTCTGTGAAAAGTGGTGTTTTAGAATAAAACACTATCGTCAGCTGAATATACAGGTAGATCCCTTAGAAACTCAAACGTCAAAACAAAAGAGGTTTACACTCTTCGTCCAAATTCTTCATGCTATGTCATAAACCTATTTTGACCTTAGTAAATGGCTGTAGTTCTTCTACGCCAATTTGGCTTTCTACGAAGGTCCATCTATTATGGTCACTCTAGCTTTTTCCAAACTCACCAACTGAGATATACTAAATTGGTTTCACAGTTACCTATCGAGTGATTTTATCAAACACGGAGGGAAAATGTGCCAGTTGTGTGTACAATACTGGTGGGCAAGGAATGCCATAAGAAATAACCTATCGGACCCTTTATCCCTATTGCACATATAAAATATTTGAATCGTCAAACATCTCCATACCCATATCAGGCTCATGGTTGTTTAAGATTAGTTTTATAAACAATAAAAGTCCTTGTATATGTAGATATTGCAGAATTTGCTGCCGGTCGCACATATTTTTCTCCTGTTTAGAAACCTAAATTCTGTTGAGAACTTTCTCTTTTTTTCAGATCTTGTTGAACAATTCTGGTTTCCAAATATTGGCGTTTTTGATCATTTTCTCTTCATTAAATGGGCCAAAGGTATCATCAACGTTTTGGTGGTAGAATATCTTACATCAACCAGTGGGTGAAGTATTCATTATGCTTGGCGAACTTCATTTTCCTAGTAAGTGCATTTTATGCGCCGGTAAATTTAACCTAAATATGTTAAAAAGGCTTGGGGTAGGAATTGCGATGATCTCGTTCCTTAAATGTAAATGGATCACGGGACACAGCTAAAAATTGTACAATTACATATATAAAGCTGTTTCTAGTTCAGTTTGTGAAAACCACTTTCACTTATCAGGCAACTAGTTTCCAAGGCGGTAATTATTCTTCTTTCGTCTGAACTTAACAAGTATTCTGAGTTAAAACATTTGTTACCAGAGCGTAACTTTTTCTGTGCTGCGTAATAAAGTTGATATATTGTAAATTTGTAGAAAATGCTAATCCCAAACTCAGGCTAGTACCGTAGTATAAAATGTTCCAATACAATAAAATTGATAGAAATAAAATGCTCGAGTTTAAATATGACTATTCGTTTATCCTAGCCCTTAAATGCCCTGACACAACCGAGAGTGGGGAGAGTCCTCTCTCCCTCTCGAAATGCTCTCACATGGCCACGCATATATAGCCTCTGCCAGGGAAGCCTTACTGCCTTCTCGTGGCGGGGGTGTTGTTTACGGAATTGAGAGGACGAAAAGCGAATGTCTGGCGCTTTAACCGAGTTGGTGGACACAGAGAGTCCGCCTAGGGGAGTTGGAGAAGCCTGATTCCAAACCAATGGTGCACATAGTCTCCAGTACCCTGGGGGAACAAATGGCGTATGAACCAATCGTTGGTCACCGGCTACCGTGGGACTGTATCTCCTTACGATTCTCCACTGTCTTGTAGATCGGACCTTTAGGTCGAAGGCTCCGGATGTGGCCCCCTAAGAAAACCACCTGCTTCGGTTTGGGCACCTAGGCAGTATCACAGCCCTCACACAAATCAAATGAGATTTGTGTGGCGCATATGTAACTGGTGCCTCCTTGTACTAGTATTTGTGTTCAAGTAATAGCTGGTCTAAGTTAATTGCCACAATAATATGTGATTTCTACAGGCTCTAAGCACCTCATAGTCGAAGGAAGATACCTTCTTTCAATAACTTTGATAGACTCTTGTTTAAGAATGTTTAGCACTTCTATGTTGCAGTAGAAACGTCTACTTCCCTCGTCAGTTCATTAAATGTTGTATCATTAATGGAATTAGAAGCAGTTTTCAACGTTCTGATAAAACTTTCTGCCTGAACATCAGAACAAGTGTCTGCGAGCAGTTAACCGATATTTGAAGGGTATACCTTTCAACAAGGTAGTAAATGCGTCCTCAGTAAAATTAATCATCAGTCACTAATACTATAGGCACTGTATCTTGACCGAACACTTTTCACAACACTTGGATTATGGAGTCAGAATTTGGTGACGTGAGAAATATTCAGGCCACTCAGAAAAACAATCAGTGACAACAACCACATAGTATTTGCCGAGAAATGGACCACAACAGTCCGCATGAATTCTCTACCAGGCCTCGCACGATACTTACCATACAGTCCACTTCGAAAGATGATTTTTCGACTTACGGCATGCTCTACGACATATATCTACACTTGTCTCCGGCATCAACACATGAGCCTTGCCAAGGATTTCATTTTCTCAACACTCAACTATTCCACTATGAAAATCTTTAAGGACGGATTTATGTAATGTAGAAAAAACATGGTCATGTAAACACACAAATCTTCAGGAGTAGTGGATGACTCATCGCGCTTTCAAAAATAGACAGGACGTCTACATTTCAGATTAGCATTCCAACCTTTTCGTATGACACTTAATATACATTTAGGGTGTCAAGGAGTTTCTATAATGAGATCTGGACGTCTCACTGGTGAAGGTTGCACTAATAAACAGGCGTATGCGCTAAGGATTTTTCAGTATGATAAATGAACTTTAGGAATAAAACGGGAATAGTATTGAAGAGCACCCACTACTGAACGTAGTTTTGTAATATTTTTCGGAGATGGTGCATTTGTCAGTAGAACTAGTCGCTTCATATCTGGTTTGAAACATTTGCCATCAACTGGGTCGCTTGTGTCAACAAATAAAGTCACGAAATGAACCAGTGTAGGTAATATAATCGCTTCCGAATATGCAAATTATCTTTCGAAATCGTGGATAAAGATTGATCATAATTAGAAACACCCAACTTAATGAAAGCCGAACTACAGTGTTCATCATTCTTAGTGATTAAATGAGTATCAGTTTTATAAACCGAATAGATATGTCCCATTTTACCACATCTAAGGCATTTGGCATGAAGGACACATAAATGGCGTAAGTGAAATTTACCACAGGATAAGCATCTACCAAACATGTGCTCACCTCTGTAACCTACTTTGCACTTTTTTATATTTCCGTGAGAATGGGAAATCTCTTTGTTTTGAGTTTCAGATTGAAAATTAATGTTAATAGATGGTATTCCCATATTTGGGACATCTCTACAAAAGTCTGATTTCACGACTACTAAGCCATATGGCAATGTTACCGTCTAGCCCTACTTTCTTATGGATTTTCGGATTAGTAATAAGTTTTAACACTTGGGATTATATGATTTTATATCATGAATACTTATTAAAATCGATGTTTTTATAAGTTCTTAGCACTTTTAGGAACTAAATTCATGTTTTACTTTCAGGCCGTTGGAACATTGTTTCTTGTGTTCGGTATGATCGCATTTAGTGAGTCGGCAGGTATACGATGGAAATCTAAAACTATTGCATTGCACTGGCTTTTCAACTTAACCGTAATTTGTATGGTCGTTGGGGTCATAACGTTATTTGTTTCACTGGCTGGTTTTGTCGGATCTTTACGTGAAAACACTTGTCTGCTGAGATTTGTAAGAAATTCTATTCAATAATGCTACTTTGTCTTGTTATAGTATTACCTTATTTTAACGTTGCTTTTTCTGACAGAGGTTGTTTGCTGCGTATTGTTCTTTGTGTACCGTGAATCAACTGTCCACAGGCTTGAAGAGTTAATCAAAACTACTTTTGTTACTCAATATAGAGAACTTGGATTTGAGGATACAACAAACTTTATGGACTTTATTCAAAAAGAGGTATTTTAAACTATTTATTAATGTATTTATTGAGTTGAGTTACATTTTTCCGTTCAAAATAATATGATTAACGTATTACATTTCTATAAATTTTGCGTGTATTATTATCTGTCCGATCTTAAGTCATGTAATCCTTAACGCGCTTCTCTTTTATTTCATGAGTTTCTCATTGATTATTGTTTTCAAATTAGAATTTCTATTTTCTGGCCTACGTTAAATATATCAGTGGTGAGGAAAATATTAGAAACGACAGAATAAAGCCTCAGGGATTATCAATATTAGACAATGATTAGGATTTATCACTAAGACCTGCACTTAAATGTTAGCAGTTAGTGAAACTCAGAAAGTAAGATTACTTATCCATTCTCATACTGACTGGAACATTTTAATTGACCTCCGTTTACTCTTCTGTAGCCCACTATTCACAAACAAATTGAATAGAAGAATAAGTTCAGACATCTTACTCATAGGGGATTTGGAGAGAATATAGCCACCTTTCTCCCAAGTTCTATTGGATTAAACCCAAATATTTTGTAGAATCCTGGTTCAAAGTATGTAGTTAGATCCAATGAAATGTCTTTCAAATTTGGAAGTTGGGTTCGATTCCATCTAACTGGTTTTGGTTTCCGATACTTTGAGAGCAAAAAGGGCAGAAACTCTCGTGTGGTAATCACGGTGAAATCAATGAGATTAACGTGCATTATAAGCTCATAAGTTCCGTAACTACACAATACCTAACCAGCTCAGAAACAGCAAACCATGCATTTATTCTTCATCAAGTATATTTGCCAATATCCAACCGTGACTATGTTTCTTATCCCCACTCTGTTAATTCAGAGGTCTTTGTGGGGCAATCCGTCCTAAAAAGACGTAAATCACCCTTCAGAAAAATTTTTATTTAAATGAGCAACGAAAGCAAAAGAGATGGGAAAGGCGGCGGCTGTAGGTAACACAAGACAGCTCTTCAGACTAATAAAAGAAACTAATTAAGAAGTCTAGTGTAAGTAAGACTATCTCGGAGCCCTTAAATGCCCTGACACAACCGAGAGTGGGGAGAGTCCTCTCTCCCTCTCGAAATGCTCTCACATGGCCACGCATATATAGCCTCTGCCAGGGAAGCCTTACTGCCTTCTCGTGGCGGGGGTGTTGTTTACGGAATTGAGAGGACGAAAAGCGAATGTCTGGCGCTTTAACCGAGTTGGTGGACACAGAGAGTCCGCCTAGGGGAGTTGGAGAAGCCTGATTCCAAACCAATGGTGCACATAGTCTCCAGTACCCTGGGGGAACAAATGGCGTATGAACCAATCGTTGGTCACCGGCTACCGTGGGACTGTATCTCCTTACGATTCTCCACTGTCTTGTAGATCGGACCTTTAGGTCGAAGGCTCCGGATGTGGCCCCCTAAGAAAACCACCTGCTTCGGTTTGGGCACCTAGGCAGTATCACAGCCCTCACACAAATCAAATGAGATTTGTGTGGCGCATATGTAACTGGTGCCTCCTTGTACTAGTATTTGTGTTCAAATAATAATAATTATTATTATTATAGACGTTTAGAACGATAGGCGGAAGACTTTAGAGAACAGTTTAGCTGGCCTTCAGTTACTCTATAACTATCCACGGTTCCCAGAAAGCGTGAATGGAACATTGAAGTAGGTCCCCCGACTCTAGCTGAAGTTCAAAAGGCTACAGCTAATCTGAAACGGGGATGAGCATCTGGCCCAGGTGGATTGGCTCTAGTCAGTCAACTGCAACATAGGGTCAGGCACATATGTGCATCGGTCCAAGTTGCCATACCGCATTAGCACAACATGATGAACACCGGATTCATAGAAGTAGTCACATCAAAGGTAGTAGTATATAAAAGAAAGATTGTGTAATCGGCTCCAGATGGATGGTGGTCCAGTGTTAGCGACTAGGTTGACTAATATTTTAGCTAAAGTCTGGGAGTTGGAATTAATCCCCTCTGACTGGTCACAATCACTTATCGTCCCAATATATAAGAAAGGGTCAAAATCATCCTGTGACAACAATAGAGGGATTAGTTTAACTAATATAGTGTCGAAAATACTAGCCTCGATAACTATCGGACGCTTAACTAAGAGTCGTGAACTGCAAACACGAGAGAATCAAGCTGGCTTCAGATCTGGTCGTGGTTGCATAGACCACATATTCATCTTTCGTCAGGTTCCAGAACACAGGCACACTTATCGGCGTCCGACAATGGTGGTCTTTCTTGACTTAAAAGCATCATTTGACTCTGTAGACCGAGAGGTTCTGTGGCGGTGTCTGTCATTGAAAGGCGTACCTTAGAAGTACATAAACGTTGGGAAGGTTTTTTACTCGAAAACCACCAGTCGAGTGAGAGCTTACGGGGAACTGTCATCTGCTTTTGCAACCTGAAGTAGTGTCCGTCAAGGCCGTTCACTTGCTCCATTTTTGTTTAACTTTATCATAGACCTATTGATGGAAATAACGCTCTTGATCTCGTATCAGGAGGCCCACTTATCAACTTAGAATACACAGATGATATAGTCCTGTTTGGTGAAAACGCTGATAAAATGCAGTCTTTTGGTAGTACTGAGTGACAATGCCAGAATGTTTGGGATGCGCTTTTCCCCTTCTAAATGCAAGTTGTTGCTTCAGGACTGGTCTGCGTCAACACCTGCACTGAGGATAGAGAGTGAAGTAGTCGAACGCATCGACAACTTCACTTATTTTGGAAGTCTGATCAGCCTTAATGGGTTGGTGTCTGACGGATTCGAAAAGCTCGTTTGGCTTTTATTAACTTACGTTAGCTATGGCGAAGGCGAGATATCCGTCTATCAAATAAGAGACGAGTATACTGCGTGGAAGTTCATTCTGTTCTACTTTACGGCTGCGAAACGTAGCCATTAAGAGTGGAGGATACTCGTAAGTTACTTGTATTTGACCACAGATGCCTTATAAATATTGCTCGCATCTGCTGGGATCACCGGGTAAGTAATAATGAGGTTAGACTCATGGTATTAGGGAATGATGGTAAATCAGTTGATGAGGTTGTGAATCTTCATCGACTGAGATGGTTGGGCCATGTGTTGCGTATGCCTGAACACCGATTACCACGACGCGCTATGCTGACTACTGTTTGGGGTGGCTGGAAGAAAGTTAGAGGCGGCTAAACCAAAAAGTGGCATCAGTGCTTGAAGTCACTAACTTCTAGTCTGAGCCATGTTGGTAGATGCAGACTACTTGGTTGGGGTCTGCGCGACTATCTTAACCAATGGTTGGAGGCTCTTGGTGACATGGCTCAGGATCGATCACAATGGCGTAGGTGTATATACTCTCTTCCCTTAAACTATGAGGTTAAAGTCGCTTCATATCTTTCTACGAACGAACGCTCTTTTCCTGTACTATATACTCATACAAAATCTTTCTTTTATATTTTACCACCATTGAGTTAACTGCTTCTATGAATCCGGTGTTCATCTTGCTGTGCTAATGAGGTGTGGCAACTTGGATCGATGCATATATGTGCTTGGTCTATGATGTAACTGATTGACTAACTTAATGTCTACTTACATTCTTACCAAAAATGTCTACAATTCTTACCATGATTTTTAACCCCATATTATTCCACAGTCACATCGACTTCTTTTACATTATCTGGTTGACTTATATCAAGTTCACTAAACTAATTTATATGATTTCGAGATTAAAGTTTTGGTTTTGGAGTAATTGTGTTTAAAGTTAATAAATCAATTGTTTTGATAGGTTATCGTTAATCAAATTGAAATGTTAGGGGGATTTATTGTCGGTCACATTGCATAGCTCCTTCCAATATAATGAATTACTTTAGAACGAAAAACACTATGGTATTACTGAATTTCTAGGGAGGCCATTTATTTAGTGCAGTTTCAGAAATTAGAAAACAATAGTATGTTTCTATTATCCTGGAATAGTTTTGGAATTACGAAGTAGTTTGTTACTTAATATCTTCTACATTTAAAGGATTTTAAGAAATACTCGCCAAGCTAAATCACATTTTTTCATTTAAATACTTTTCATTTAAGATGTCAAAATCATACGTCTCTGACAATGCAGATAACTCAGTGTTTTGACTGTCCACAGTCTTGTCACTTTGCAAATAATTTTCTACACTAACTTTCAGGCACTTCAAAAGCTATTAAGGAATTAGCTTACTATATCCTGCCGACGGAATCATCATTCTATTTTAAGGTAAATTTCTTCAAGCATTTACTGTCCTTGTTACTGTATTTTCCAGTTTCTAAGTATTTTCTCGCTCCGAAATATTACAAATCCGGCATATGAAACTTATTGACAAAGGGTGCATCGTTAATTTATGTAGGACTTCAAACCAATTGTAATAAAGGTTAGTAAAATTTATGAAAAACACATTCGTCATCCAATAAAAAACATCACATCATGAAGGATAATAAGCTCATAAAATGACTGATAAAAAAGCACAAAGGCCTCTTTTGTCATCTCATATCAACCATATTCTTTGAAGTTGTTGAATTGGAGAAAATGTGGGTGAAGCAATATGAACGAGCACAGTTGATACAGGTTTATATTGCAATGTATTTCAGTGACATTATGAGCCCGGAAATTCATAAAATTGGAATATTAATCGGATGTTTATACTTCACAGCTCAGATTTCCATCTTCATGGCAGCAATATCACACGTTCGTATTTTAGTAATTTATTCTTTTTATTTTCTCAATAATATTTTTTGAAAACGTAATCGTTTAGTCAAAAGTTTTTAATATTATATATATATATATATATATATATATATATATATATATATATATATATATATATATATATATATATATATATATATATATAATGTTTATTTACATACAGCTTAATTGTTGCGGACCTAAGTCATATCTTGATTGGACAGCTAATCAATACTTTTCATGTGATAAGTCTAATATAAGCCCTGAAGCTTGTGGAGTTCCATATTCTTGTTGCCGTCAAATGAATGATATCAGTGTAAGCATTTTTTTAGCGTTCTATAACTGAACGAAATTTTATTATTTGTACTTCAAATATATTACTTATCAGTCTTCAATTTTAACATCCCATAGTCATACTAATATTGTTGTTATTAGTTATTATCATTAGAATGTAGTATGTAAATGTAATACTCGATTGTGTAGTGTTTTACTTCATTAACTTTAAGAATGAAGTGTGTTTTTCCAAGTTTTGCTTTGGTTATCAGCGGAATGAAAAGTTCAGTAGTGTTCAGCGTGCAGGCTTCCACTAGAAAACAACTTTTTCCACAAATCTCTTTGTCAGTATGTTGTTTCAACAAAAAGAAACAAAAATTTCTATCAAAATCATCCATCTAAGCTACAAATTTCATCCACCCGGGCAGTATCACAGCCCTCACACATATCAATTGAGATTTGTGTGGCGCATATGTATTCGGTCCCTCTTTGTACCAATACCTATGTGTTAAAATAAATAAATAATAACCATTTTAAATGAGATATGTTAGTACACACATTACAAACATGATCCAAATCTTGTTATTTAAGTGTATACAATAGTAGCAGTGAAAATCGTCAAAAGTTCATTTTAATCTTTCCTGTTGGTTTAATCTATTCTCATTGAAACAAACATCAAAACAACTCACTTGCAGTGCATCATCGTGATGACAAAGATCGTAAATCAAGAGCATATTTTTCATTATTTTTAAGATATCGTTCGTATAGCTAACCTCCATCATAATTTTCATTTTGAAAATATGTTTAAAATGAAGTGTCAAACCTTTCATTTCATACATACACTAATCGATGATAGCACTTCAGTAGGTAAAATACCGTTTGTGTGTGTATTAATAAGATCCACATTACTTAGTAAATTTAAAGTACTATTTAAGAAGTATGTCAACTCAAGTATCACAACATCCAATTGAATAGAACTTGAGTCTTCTGATAAACAAATATACTGTGCACTAGTAACCACAATACCTACAATTCTTTATAGAATACCATGTGCCAACTTAGCTCAAATTTTCGTGCATAAGTTTTTGTTACACGTAATTAGATCTTTATAACATCACATACTTTAGGATTCTCTTTAAACTATTATTTTTTTACCCGTAATTTTTGTCCTTGTATTTATTATCTTGATTCGGTTCTTACAATCAGTGAGAAATTATCAGTTTACTATACGTGCGTATATCAATCTAAAATGATATTGACAATAGTATATTAAGGCCATAGAATATTTTATTATTATTTTTATTTTTGTTTGTCTAATTGATGTAATTTAGACATTTGACCTACTATATTAAATTATGTGTGTGTTTGATTAAACTCTGTACACCAATCTTTATCTATTCTCTCATTAGTTGTAAACACAATCAATAATAACTTATCCACAATCGATTAACACTCTTAAGTATATATGGATTCTTTTGATACTTACACCTGCTTTCCTGTGTGCCTGTGGATTCTATCAATTATTGACAATACATTGTCCATTGAATAAGAATAAAGAGAATTCAGCGAAGAAAATTTTCTTTTCGACGCAATCATTTACTGAAGCTATACACCATCCCTACAACTGGTTTTCTGAATAATTCATAATACTACTAGGAGATTTGGCCTGAGTACATACTCAGTTAACAGGTTATTATTTATTTTAGTCAGATATAGAGGAATTAATCTCTACAAATTATCGTCATAACATTTGTTTGATTTCTCTAATGAGTGGTCATGGTTATGCATCACTGAATATTAGTGATCCCTAACTAGCACGAAAGAAATGCTCCTGTGTGAGAGTTCGCTTACTGTTTTGTTGATCATTCAACCTTTACCAGTCGATAATAAATTCTAGACTCAAGTTAATAAATTAATTATTACTGGATTTAAGTATCAAAAAAAAATAATGATAAAATATTAGCCTTGAAATCAATTATTTCTGAAGTAATTGTAATGATATGCTTACACCGAACCATAGGTTAATATTATTAATACATCGTGTGGATTTGGTGTACAAAAATCAACAACTGCTGAAGCCAGTCGTTTGGTATGGACAACTGGATGTGTTGATGCGCTTATCAGTGCAGTAGAAAACAATATAGTCTATTTCGCTTATGGGTTTGTTAGCGTAGCTGTATTTCAGGTTAGTGCACAATATATATAAAAGGTATGATACATGAATCTAAAATATTTAAATGATTCCGTGACTTTTTTAATAAGTCTTAGCAGATGATTGATTATTAGTTTCCTTCATTTGTAGCTCAGATTCTTAAGGAATAGAGTTGTCTTATTGTGTAAAATGTTCGTAAACATCATTCAACCATCTTTGATGGTGCTTTTAGTGTAAGAACCTCACTCCCAAACGTGTTTAACTGTGTATTAGTTATAATATCTTAATGCTCTGTTCTTGTTCAAAGTAGAAAAGCTTGATGCTTCTGAAATATTAACCTACCGTTCCTTACTCGTAGTATCATCCAGGGATATCCTGCTCGTTTGTTGAGGATGTTAGATCCCCAGAACTCACTTGGTAAATATCTTGACTTGTAATTGTATCTTGAAAATTTTAATTTCTTTGTTTTCGTGCCACAAGTGCTCTTTTCACCTTCATGTCGTATTTCCAACTTGGGAGAATCCTTAACGCTATTGGTCGATTTTATATTTTAGTGTGCTATTTCGTAGCGCTTCTCAAGGACAGTTTTATGCTGTATATATACGTTTGATTTGTGCCTGTTGCTATCGCTTGTACTTCTGGATACTTGCGGAATATATTTCCCCGTTCGAACTTCGACTTTTTTCTCTAGTTAGCGGGGCTTGGAAGCATCAGATTAGCTAGCTTATTGGTCTTTGGTCACAGAGTCTTTGTTCCATTCGCAGACTAGATGAACTCGTAATCGCTTGAAACATAACATCGTTACGATAATATTGTCATAAAAAGCAAAAGAGTAAAAGTAAAAATCCCATATCTAAAAAGTCAATAAATTCGATGGATTTATTATGTATGGAATTATCATCTTATTTAGGTCATTATTATTTTATCGTCATGTAATTAAATCTGTGGTTCAGTATACTGGACATCAGCATTTTCTTATTGAAGCACCTTTTTTTGACTACCTGAATTCATCTTACACTTCCTTATAAAGCATTATTCTCTGACATTCGCTTGGTGTAAAATGATGAAAGACTATCAGCTTATGATATAAGACCTTTGAATAAACGTAATTCTGTTTGATTAGCATCCTGATTAAGGTTCTAGCGACTGTATAAAATAATGACCTGCCGTCTGATAAACTGTTGCTTCCTATTATGTGCTATTCATAAGTAGTAATAAATAAAACGAAGTTTATCTTAATTTTGATTATATTACGACTGCATCCTTCAATATTTTCATTTATATATCACTGTTCGATTTCCTCTATTGCGTTATTTTAAAAGTTTTCATGTTTCATATAACTTACACTTTGCTACTTTCATTGTATACTACCATTGAAGTAACTACTTCTATGAATTATGTATACATCTTGTTGTGTTAATGAGGTGTGGCAACTTGGATCGATGTATATATGTGCTTGGTCCTACGTTGTAGGTGACTGACTGACTGATTCTTTTATATTCTGATAATAACACATTCGGCAGTAGATACTTTGAACAAATAATTGGCCACAGTTTTGTATTTCAAAGTTTACAGCACTATTTGTTTTTTCAGGACATTCTGAGACTCCTTTTTCTACCATCCATCTGAATATATATATATATATATATATATATATATATATATATATATAATTATTAACAGTTGTATATGTTTTCTATTTCACTTCCTTAAATTTTTCTGTTTTTTTCTTAGCTGATAGCTATCCTACTTGCAAAGACACTGCATACACAAATCAATGATCAACTGCGTTTACTACATCAAGAAAATATTTACTTTTGAGAATTTTTCTTCCATCCCTCTAAAGATAACGTGCATTATTATTATTATTATTATCACGATTTGTAAGTAAAAGAAATTCTTTTTTGGACTATTTTTGGTGACTACAACTAATTTTTCATCAATCACTGAAACAACAATTTACTCATCTTATGTGGAATGAATAAGGACAATAATACGAAAAATCTTTCCTCATCAAATCGATATCTGTATATATTCATTCCTGGCCGTTACCACTGTGATTTTAACTTGCTCAGTTCTATGCTTGTTTTATTTTTGTTGTTACATCCTTCTGAATTACATTTTGTTAACTGAAAGAAAATAATAAATATAAATCTTATTCTTTTGATATTTTATGTTTTCTTAATCTAAAACATTGTCAATGATGATTGTTTGTATTAAATTATCTTTCATTTTTATATTGAATTTACTTTATATCATTATATTAGTATTGTTCGGCATAATTTCCATTCATAATTTTAAAGGAATTAGGTCATCAACATATCATCCAAGATACTTAAAATATAGAAAATCTATAATTTAAGACTATTATTTATTAGCAGCATATCTTTTCATTGTATTCTGCTTACAAAAAAAGTTCATTTGTTTTAATCACTAAGCAATGAATCAGCATGTTAACGTGATTGTTCAATTCAGTCTCAAATATATCAATACATTCATTAAAATGAATACCTGTTTAACAAATGGTATTCCTCCTAATCTATTAGCTTGATAGATGAAAATTTAATGTTCATAAGGATGGTTACTAGCTTCATGTTCCAGTGAGAACAATACAGATACAGATAAATCCAGCCAACAACTTACTTCACGATTACATACGCATATTGTTGTTTTAACTACTTTAGAACGTTTCTTCTGAAAACTGAAATTTTAATTTGATGTCAGTTAAAGTAACCATGTAAATTAGTCATTTTCTTTTAAAGAATTTTTTCCTAAGTTATCCACATAAAATTATTCTAAGTAGTTGTCAATATTCTACTTCGTTATGCAGAGTACGAGTAAACACCTTAATTAGTTCAATTGCCCGAAACATCGACCGCAATAGTAGGTAATACAACTTGATGAATAATCTCTTCATGACCTTAAGAACCGTTATTCAGGAATACAGAAAACAACTTTGTTTTTTGATACAGTATGAATAATCTAAAAAATAATTAAAGTTTGTAAACTGTAACATTTTATAGTGTTTGAAATAACTAGTTTTCGCATGTAAGTCTCAACAGTATTTTGTAAAATATTCACATCATGAAAACAAGAACCGTATTTAAAGAACTGTATTCACACTGTCCAGCACCTAGGCAGTCATACAAGCAATGAAATATGAGTTTGTGGATAAAATTTAACACATCATTTTGACATGCTCAAGGAAACTCTTGAACATTTCAGTCACTTTCGTTAAAGTGGCTGTCAATAAAATAATTACTCAATTAATTTCTGTATCTGTGTCTTGTCTCGTTCCCATTACTTACGCAATCTATATTGTAACATAAAAAAACTTGACTTTTCAAGGTAATCGAATACTGTTATCAATCACTTTTTGGCTAGTTATTTGTAATCAAAAATGCCTCTTTTCCAACGAAAATTCAATGTACCGAAGTTTCCTGCTCGAAAAGCGTCTAGTATGACAAATTTATCACATCTAGATTCAACTACGCGAAGTCAAGAGTTCAGCATGGATTTTGGACCAATTAGAACACGTTTAAGTGGACGGGATCTTGTATTCCGCAATGGACAGTGGGTCATTGGTAAGTTTTTCAAATTTACTATGAGTACAATAAAGGATAGATGTTAAAGATATATTTACAAATATTTTTGGACTTATGAAGCAATACTTCTTTATATATCAATAATAATTGGTTTTGTTTTAATAAAAGAAGACATTCTTTATAGGTTGAGGTCGTATTAACAAACAATCTTGTTTATATATTTTTTTAATACATTGAATAAACATCGTATGTGTAAGGTACAATTTTAGAACGGAGATATACTGAAACCAAAATTTTGTTTTATTCTACTCACAAATCTACTTGATTATATTTGTAAACAGCAATGAAGCACTCTCATTCTCTGTATAGTAAATTCCACACTAGAATTCTAATACATACACGGCTGCATATTTCTGGCTGCTTATGTTTCGTGTAGTATTAATGCTACGTGACAAAAAGAAGCAGTTTTCTTACATGTATTTCCTGTAGACAACACTCCCAGGACTCTATTATTGATATATATTGACTTGTCCCTTGAATGTATGTCGTCGGATTATAATCGTTAACATATATTTTTGTATGGGAACGTTAAATGTTCATACATAGATTAAGAACTCAATGTTATTGCTGGATAATTTTGTCAAATGACTATTCCTAATTAAATCTATTTTAATAAAATAATTGAAAAAATAAACAAAAATAATATATTTGTAATATCTCAATGAGTAGCAAAATTGGGTTTTCTGATGTTTCGTTACTCAGTGTAAGCCAATTTAGTGGCCCGTGATCTGACTCCATGTTGATCGTATGAACGATTGCTATCGCCTATCCTCGTATATAATCATTGACTTAAATCGCGTTAGTTAATAACGGAATTAAATATGTCAAATAACGAGAATGGAATTTTGCATACATACATTTTGTATATGAAGCGAATGGAATAGAACAAAGCAAAACGACGCACAGTGGCGATGTCTGGGATGCCAACACCCCATTAACAAAGAGTTAATCAATATTTATAAGCGCACAAAAATAAATTACAGACATGTGATGAGTAACGGGATAAGAAGTGTACATACGCCCATGAGCTCATATAAAGACAGTCAAGATTGATGAGGTCAAAATGTGACTCGAGTAGAATGAATAGATTGAGATGTCCGAAAGCTAGAATGAGGTATGTGGGCTTAACATAATAACAGACACTACATCACTTCTTGAGAGAATAAATTATAATTCTAATAAAATTATTCTTTTAATAATTTGGCATACACTCCGTCACGAAACATCGAAAAATCCAATTTCTCTACTCAATGAAATATTAAAAATAGCTTATTTTATTTATAACAATCTACCTAATGCTCAATTTATTCAAAATTATCCAGTCAAACTCCCGGTAATGATGTGAACAAGAATAGTCTATTTCATTCACTAGGTTCATCCTTAAAAGTATTGGATTTATGATTTTCTGAAAAGAAAAATTTTTTTTAACTAAGAGTCACTGTTATCTAGTGTGATGAAATCATTTTAATACTCAACTTATTATTAAAAAGTATAGTAAAAAGAATCTTAGTTGTTCTGTTCATACCCAAGTAAAAATCATTACTTCTCAAAAGTAACTTGTATTTCTCATGTAATTACAATCTGTTCTATGAATGATAAAGTGGAGTTGGAATAAATTATTGTTTAGCATATTTATCATATACTAGTCATTTCAACTACCATCTATTAATGTTGAATACAGACAACTTATGAGTTACAAGGTTTGTATTATCGACTTGATTTAATCTATACACGTTATGTTTCGGGATGCTTAAGTTTCTCTCTAACTACGAGCGCTTAAGACACCCTTATAAGACGAACTGGAATCTATGCGTACGAGATAGATCAGACGACTAGTACATAACACTTCAACAATAAACCCCCACTCAATAGATGAAAAAGAATTCGGGTAAGAAAGATGAATTGGAAAAAACCTCAGAAGATAAGTCGTTTTCCTCGGGGTCATGCAGCTATATTCTGAGTAATTTAATAACTATTAGTTACATAAATTATCAGATAGCTATTATGTAGGCACACAATCACAAAGCATCTCTGCGATTAGTCATCATACTGAACCAAATTCAAGTGAATGAAAGATTACACTGAAACAACTCGAATTCGAATAGACAGAAATCATACGAAATTGATATGAGATTTAACTAAATAAAAAGTTAATTTATAAAACAATACATAGTCTGTTACTCAATTTCTATCTACTAAATCCTATGTAGGAATATAACATCCCCAATAAAGCGGTTATTAAACTATATAACAAGAAAATTGTTAATGTAGCTTAATTTGTTTAGTATCACTTAATCTTTTGGAATCGTTTTTTGTGACTGATACCGTTATTTTATTCAAGTTATTTCATTATCTATAACTACTTTTTTCATTTTAGAAGGAGAAAATGGAGTGTTAAATGATGAATCTGGAAATGCAACTCAGTTGGGTCGTGAAACATTTCGTATTAAAAAAGAAAATCATCAATTAATTGAAGAAAATAATTTGTTAAAGTTGAAAATTGACATACTCTTAGATATGGTATGGCATTATTTAGGTTTAGATTGCTATTATCCTTATGTGCTAGTAAACATAATTCAACTTATTTTATAGTTTATATAGGGAACTGACATTTCTCAAACTACCATTGAAATCCAGAAAGCACTGAACAGCTGCTTCGTTCCAGTATAGGAACTATCAACAGAGTACATCAACAACCTCACCAATAACGCAACCCAGGACCTTCATTTCTCGTGACGAACTCATATCCTCTAAACTATCGAATCAAAATCTACTGAATTTATACTGCTAAGGAGTTCCATAATAGGATAAAACAGCACTTCAGTGCATTATGGTTTTCATTAGTTGTTTAATGAATGTCATTTTATATTATTTCAGAAATCTCTACAAATTCCTTATACTAATTATACTGTGTCCAAAATACATATACATCACTATGTGAAATTTTCTCTTTTTATTTTAAAGCTTGCTGAAACTACAGCTGAAGTACACTTACAAGAGAATGAAATTGAAAATCTACGTAATACGTTGCACAAAAAACCAAATACAACAATTCAAGTTGCTTAATTATAATCTTTGATGTTTTTGTTGTTATTAAAAATCTTCACATTAGAATAATTAAATTCGTGTGAAATTGTCCTTTGTGATAATATTCCATTATTAAATATAATTTTGACATGGACTAATCACTTTTCAAAATGGAACAATTTACCACAAAAACTAAATACATATCATTCTTAGTTTGCATTTCTTTTATTTTCTTTCTCTCTCTCTGTTCTCTAATTGGTAATATATCTGTGTAAACGTCAGGAATAAATTTCATTTATACTAAAGCTTATTCTATTGATTTTAAACTGAATATGTTCCACATTGATTTCTTAATTTTCTTGTTATCTTGTAGACTATATGTAACCATTCGTTTAAGTCAGTGACTGTTGAAGCGAGCCATGTTAGTAGATGCAGACTACCTAGTTAGGGTTCCTTTCTATTACTGTGACCAATAGTCGAAGACTATGTGACATGTCTCAGGACTGTTCATAATGACTAAGATGCATTCACGTTTTGCATTTTCTAAGATCTTGAGTTCTTAATCATTCCATATATTTTGCTCTGTGAATTCATTCATTCTGCTGGAATCATATCGTCTGTTCCAAATGTTTTCTACTAATACATATAATGTTACTACTTTTAGTACTCTAAAAATTTTTCTTGATAATTTCTCTTCTATGTGCTGATATGTTGTGACAATTTGAGTCCCTCCATATATATGCTAGGTTCTACATTGCACATAATTGATTGATGTAAGCCCTGTGTAGATTTGCATTGATATTCTAGTTGTAGTTCATAACTAACAAAGTGATTATTTTACATCATTCTCAAGTGTTTTTTTTTTAAAATTAAATGTTATTTATTACTGTTTTAGCGATCTTGTGCATTTCATTACACCAGATACTATGACAGAACAAGAGGATAAGAAGGGCCGAAAAATTCCGCCAAATTATTTTGGTAAGGAAAATCTTGTTATATTAGTAGAAAAATAGTTTTTGGTGCGTTTATAGGTATATCAGGTCTGTCTTTAATGGCAGGATTCACATATAGAATATCATCTTTCAAGAAGATCAATCCATTACCATCCATGAAGGTAAGATTTTACTTTATTTTTCTCAAGATTACCGATGAACAATTTTCGATAGTTTACCTTGATGAAGTTATTTCGGTGTCTTATTTCTTTTATCACATACTGCGATTGTCCATTCCTATAGTTTATTCAAATATGGATTCTATCAATCTCTGATCATTCCTATTGGTCTGTTTTGTGAACGTTTGAACTGGTTCAATAAAAATGAGTGATGTTATGAATTATGAAATGACATTAAGATCGAGATTTTAAAAGTCAACGAGTTAGTGTATCGTTCTAATTACAATTGAATTTAATCTATTTCATAAAAGTTAAGAATAAACAATATCGTCTGTCTCTTACCTAATGGACCATACCATGACTACCATTTGCTATTTTGTCAAGATATTTTTATTATAAGTCTCATTACATTTACGTAGCTTTTAGCGGATCATCATTGTATATACTACATTCACTTGATAAGTATTCATGGAGTGCTGCAGTCTCGTGATAAACCTATCTTTTGTTCTTTTAAACGTGTGATACGATGACTAATACTTTAAACTTAAATATGAGTTATGTAGTCAGGAAAAAAGATGTACATTTTCCTAGCTGTTATGTTTGGTAGAGTTTAGTGGTCCAAGATCTGAACCCATTTGGATCATATGAATGACTGTTATTGAAATATACATGTCACCAATTCTCGTATATAATTATGGACTTAACTCACGCTAGTAAATATCGGAATTAAAACAAGTCACACACAAAAATGAATTTCGAATACATGTATTCACACAGCCGTTGATCTATGAAAAATGATCGGTGAAACGAAGCGAAACTGATCGGAGAAGGCAAGTGAACCAACTCGATTTAATCAATCGTAAATCCATATTTATAGTCAAACAAAAATAAGTTACGTAGATACGATGAGTAAAATACGAAATATACACATACGCTTACATAAAAACGGACAAGGTTGATAAGTGAATAATTGACAAGGTTAAAATGTGACTCAGGAAGAATGAATAATTTGCTTGTCCAGAAGCTAAAATAAGCTATAAGTGCTTGGAGCATCAAGTTGATTTTGAATACCGTTTTAGTATATTTGGTTCAGCGAAACCGTTTTATAAAGCGATACTTCTGCATTGATATATAGCTGCGTTAATCTTGATAGCTTCACTGCTGAATTTATTCACCTCATTTCATGCCGAAACTACATGGTACATACATAAATCTAACGGATGAACCGGTCCTGAACCACTAAACTGATTTGAACTCACTTGGCGTACAAACTATAAAATTCATTATTGCTTATGTGAATGACAATATATCGCTGCAAATGTCCAAGCTATCGTGCGTACTTTCAAGTTTACAAATTTTTCAACTTAATTTTAATGTTATGTCATTTTTCTCAATTATACTGTTCACAGGCAATTAATCAGGACAAAAATATGCCCGAATCTGGTATACATTTTGCTGCTCGTGCTCTTGGAGTAGCAACAATCATAACTACCTCATCACTGGGAGCACTGTCTTTATTTATGTGGTACATTATAAACCCAGTGGACGGAAACGACTTTAATGAACGTATGCGAAATATATTCCCTTCTAGACGGAAGATAAAACCATCAGATTCTCGTTCTGAAATTAGAACTTTCGAAGAGCTTTCATCCTTAATAAATGATTCTGTAAAAAACAAATGACGAATAATCATTACTCCCGTCAGCAACTTATCATTGTAGTTGTCTGCATGAAATGAGCCTTTTGATCCTAGTATTTCTATGTCGTTAGAATGTAATTTTGTAAGGTCTCTGGATACTATTTCAGTGAGTTCTACCGAACGATTTCTCGCATCCTTCAGAAAGCTATACGCTCAGGCGTAATTATGATGGGTGGCTTCAACGCTCATGCTCCGGTTTGTGTTTTACTCTGTTGATGGTGACTGTCAAATGCGACCATTTATTCTCAACAAGCAATGTTTCTAAAAATGGGATGCTGAACGTCCTGGTGAATCTCGATATTAGTCAGACGATGGAAATAAGACTTACCCCTCTCAGTCATCGTTGGTAGAGGTTGATGGGAAATTACGACTATTTCTGTTGTACATATATGGATCTCGAGTTTCAGTCCGAGCGAGCGCTCATTCGCAACTTACTAAATGCAGAAAAACTAATAAGATAACCTCTTATAATTTGGCTCGTAAGTGTTTATCTCCATAAAGGAAGAACTAGCTTAAGCAATTTGCTGAGCAACAATTTATGTTCATTTTGTGTTGATCTAGTATGATTCGATTTTTGCTGGAAAGACGGTAACTTCTATAAGCAACCTAGATGAAAAAGTTAGGTGAAGCCATTAAATCTCAGAACTCGCTACCAAACTTATGCATGCTCGGAAACGAGCAAAGAGCAACCGATAGTCTATTCAGTGTTTACAAGTAAACTGTTTAAAGTGGAACGTTGACGGGGGAAGTTGTAACAAAATCTTTTTCTCATCCCCTAATGAACTCGCATCGATCTCGTTTGTTAAATCTAAAGAAGTATGATTGATTTCAAATGTGGACTTAAATGTTCCACATCCAAGCAACTAGTCAGTAAATATCTTTATAAGGGTTTTAATGGGGAACCTGTAAAGGAAGATGGGTTAGTGTTGGTCTTGACGACCTGGGGGCGTGATCGCAGAACCCAAGGGACAACTGCTTGAAGCCGGTCACGCACGGACTTTTTGTGGTAAGTTTTTAATGTTTTAGTCCCGTCCTTCAAAAAGCCTTGTCACCGGAGGCGGAAATTCGTGAAGTAAGGTATGACATTACTAGGGTCGACGTTTCCTAACCCTTCCTTCCTTGTGCGAAGGCAGCATCGCTGCAGATGCTGGTTGTCCGAGGGAAACACTTTACTGCTGTCACACCCCTCAACAGTCCGCGGTACGACTTCGCCCTCAGACCTGGAGTTGCTGCTTTTAGTCTTACCGTTCTCCAATCGACCTGCCTGGCATGGTAGAACCTACAGGAACATATGTTCCAGCCAGTATAGCTCGGTTGATTCATCAGGATAGGCAAGCTCGATCACCACATTAAGGTAGCAGCTACGGTCGGGTGCTTTGTGATAAAAAAACACCATTATGTCTAGGCCTAGTTGCATGGATGGTAGGTTTACCTTTTAAATATGTAGGGAACACTGAAAAGATTTTAATTCCACAATTTGGATTTAATTATTCTAAGTTACTTGTTCGATCAAAAGATAAACTTCAGAACTTGAAGACCAGCTCGAATGTGGTAATTCGTACCAGATCAGTGCAATAACTGTCCTTCCTATTCAGTGAATAGTTTTTCCCATTCCCACTGAAAGCCCTTCGCAAATACGATTGAAGGCCCAACACTTTTACGTGATAACCGAATTTAGATCAATCACAGGAATATATGTAGCTAAGACAAACTTATCGATTGATGATTATAGTCTCATGAGAACCTTTCAATTAAGAAATTCTAATGTCTTAATAATGTGTTTTTATGGACCTGCTCCTTTACGAAATTATTTGAAACCTAAAAATGGGTGGAAATAAATTAAATACTTCTATGGATAAATTTTCAGCATAATTGACATATCTGTGAGAACTAATGGTACCCCCGTGCTGTTCAGTTTTAAATGCATTGTTGTCGGAACCTTCAAGCTAACAGGTGAAAGTACGGATACTTTAGCAATCCAGCTACTGTCTCACATCTGGATTGACAAGATATATGCGCTACAACCTGCAACAACACTTTAAGTTGTCTTGAATATATACAGTGCTACACTAAGTTTGCGTATATGGCATTATTTAACAAAGTACCTATTTAAGGTTTGGTTTTCTTCATCAGCCTCATACATTTAGTTCTCATCGTTGGTTATTCACGATAAGTGGAAATGACTCAACTGTTTGAAAATAATTAGGTAAATTATTCTTTAAAATATCAGTGAGCTGTACAAGTGATTTCTAGTGAGATAAATACAATCATAAACTAGGGTTTTTGTCTTTTTCACTTTGCATAGCAGAATATGCATTGTAATCAATATGGCTGGATGAGCTGAAACCAAGACCGGCGCCTCGCTGAGTATGTGTTATGGTACGAGACATCTCATATTCGTGTTCAAGTCGCCGGAAAAGTTCAGCTTGCGCTTCAGCTCGACGCAAAGCCTCAGTTTCATTGACATGAGCAGCACTTCCGTCCACGACTTCTTCAGAAGAATCATGAATTCCCATCAATTTCCGAAATTTAGCTGCAGCTGCAGAATCACCTTTTCCAGCAATTAGAGATGTGGCTGTCCAAAGAGTTTTACTTTCCTAGGTGAAAAATAAAGATTTTGTAGTTCGCAATGAACATCTAGGATTTAGTCAACACACCAAAAATGAACCTTATTTTCCAAAATAAATTATTACTTACAGAACTAGTGTTTTCACCATCTTTTTTGGACCACAATAACTTGCGCTTTTGTTGTTGCTCCGCGAGTTTGACGGCGTTGACAGTTGTTGGGTTGTAGTATTTCGGGAGCTTTGCGGCGGCGGCAGCGGCTAATGCTTGAGCCTTAGCTTGCTCTTGTTGATGCTTTTGTATTTTGTCTAATATATCTTGTGCTGTTAATCGCTGCACAGGAGCATTCGTCGTAGTACCTGGACGAAAAAGCATCCAGGTAATTAAATCTAGGGAAAATAGCATCTTATGTAATACTAGTGACTAAGTTTATAAAATCTGAATGACTTAGTAAAATCTTTGACTTCAGTTACCTTTGTTTTTTGATAGATATGACATGATATCGAAGCTCTACGGTGTTTGTCAAACGGATATATTGAACAAAATGGACAAACGCTTAGCACGACATATAAAGAAGAACTGTCATTTTGAACTGACCAACCATATATATATATATATATATATATATATATATATATATATATATATATATATATATCAGTTTGATAGGAATATTTTTCATAAGTAAATAGTTCATCATGTTTTTTCATCACTCAGGCCAGTCTTCTAATTCTGTACTCACTCTGGATGGTGAGCAGATAGAAGTAGTCGAGAAGTTTGTGTATCTGGGTAGCTGCATAAGTGCTGGTGATGGCCTGAGTGATGAGATCAATGCACGTATAGTGAAAGCCAGAGCGGCTTATGCCAATCTGGGCCATCTTTGGCGCCTTCGTGATGTTAGTCTGGCTGTAAAAGATCGGATCTAAAACGCGTCGGTGAGAGCAGTTTTGCTCTATGCTTGTGAAACCTAGCCTCTCCGAGTTGAGGATGTTAGACGACTCTCTGTGTTCGATCATCGCGGTCTCCGAAGGATTGCTGACATTCAGCGGCAACGCCATATTAGTAATGCAGAGGTTCGTGCACAGAGACGATAATGTAATTGGTGTCACCATCTTGAAACACCGGCTTCGGTGGCTTGGACATGTTCTACGAATGTCGTCCCAGAGAATTCCACGTCGTGCATTATTTGCCGACTCTGGGACTGGTTGGAAAAAGCGGAGAGGTGGTCAGTATATGACACGGTGTCGGGGTATGAAAGAAAGCTGCAAAGGGCTAGCTTCTGTTAGTTCTTCACGACTCCCTGGCTGAGGTCCGAGAGATGGTGTAACACAGTGGCTAGAGACGTTATCAGATATGGCTCAAAATAGAAACTAGTGGCGATCCTGCTGTAACCTTCTTCATAAAAAGTGGTTGCTGCTTTCTTAACTGAAAGATTTCTTCTGATTGTACCTTTCCGTTTCCACCATTATTGTTCTCTATTTTTTTTAATAATTCCCTACGTTCATTACTTTTTTCCTCCTTCTCTTTAAATTATCATTGTTTTGTGCGGCGCATATATATTTGGTGCCCCCTTGTACCAATATTTATGTGTTCAAATAAATAAATAAATTTCAGTTTGATTATGTTCATAAACTTGCAATTAGAGACTTTAAATTTTACCGTTCTTGGTTTTGAAAGAATTATGCTACTCAATTGTCCGCACTTACCAATCAGATCCGTTCAATGATAAAATTTCTATTTGTAATATCAAACTACGGCGGAGTAACGTCTATGGTGAATATCACATTTTTACGATGGCTTTGGAGTCTAAAATTTATGTGGTAAATCTGTCACTAAACGAGTTCCAAAAAGTAAACTACATCAGAAAATGACATTTCACTCTGAGGTTCTAATCATATCGGGAAATAAGATTATTAAGTGAGTATATTGTGCTCGCTTTAGACGACTAAAGAACATGCCGTGATTCCTTACTTTTATGTTGAGCTGGAATATCTTAATTCTCGAACACCTAGTTACCACAGAAGTCTCCTTGTTTTACAGTCTTTTTTATATCTATTAAGGTTAGTTTCCTCAGTGGCTGATAAACTGTATTCTAAAATCTAATTTTATGATCTGAAATACTGATAGGTTAAGACAGTAAAATTCGTACTTTGGCTAGAAACTGCCGGAGAATTTGTCGTCACGGTGACTCCCGTCGTTGAGATAATGAGGTTAGTGTTCTGATTTTCTGGCTTCGGTTGCGAACTCTGAAAGAGATTATAAAAAGCAGATGATAAATTGACATAAAATAAAAAAAGAATGAATGTAGCGTAGCTGGTGTTTTGTACGTTGTTCATAAAATGAAACAACGAGTAATTACAAACAATTAGTTTCAATTCAAGTCTTGAAACTCGAGCTTTTCTTAACAGCACAAAAACAATAACTAGGGATGACAATTAGTTAAAATAAATTTACTAGTTATTAAAGTACCCAAAGAAGATTTCTTGAAGATAATACATGACAGACTTACGAAATAATCTTTGGAACTTGTTGTGAGGAGTTGTGTTAAATTTCTACCATTATGACTTCCACGCCGACTAGGTTTGCTTTCAGGGCTGGTATCACTAGATGAACTGGAGGATGAAGTTGAACTGTGACGTCGATGCTTTCGGCGATAACGATGTTTATAGTCACTACAGTAGGAGTCACGGTGATGATGCTTTCTGGATGAATGTTTGTGCCTCGAATGGTGGGATGAACGTTTGTGTTTTGAAGAGCTTACACGTTCACTTGGACTTCTGCGATCAGATCTGAATCAATTAAACACCAGAATAGAATTTACGAAGGTATAAGGTTCACGAAAATTAAAAGACAATAATATAAGTCAACTATTAGAAGACCTGTTGTCTCATAAGTCGTCCCATTAAAGTCAATAAGTAGCATCCCAACTCTTACGCTTGAACAAAAGGCATCAGGAGATAAGTAATGGATACAGATTTTAGTTTGCCGTCCACCGATATGCTGCCATATTTGTGCAAATTTCAGTCAGTCAGCAACAACGTAGAACTTCAGTTCAAGTTGTCACACCACATGAACACATATACAATTGTCGATTCAAATCCCATAGTGGTAGAGGTAGTAAAAGTATAAGCAGTAATCGAAAAGATTAGGGTTCGATGATATTATTCAAGGAGTATTACCCAGTAAAATAAATTTGGAGAGAGAAAAAAAGGATATGAAGAACTCAGAACATTAGAGTAGGGTAGAACACAAAGAGTGGATGCACCTGCGCCACTGCAAACGATTTTGAGCTGCGTCATTCAAGGTCTATAGCCATCGGTTGCTATCGTCTCACGGATCTCAACCAGGTAGTCTACACCTATCAACATGGCTTAGTTTACTTGTCAGTGACTTCATGGATTTGTATCATGTTCTGGTCTGGCCGCCTGTAGCTTTTTTCTAACCTACTCCTACACCATAAAACATCGCACGTCGGTAGTTGGGCATACGTAATACATGTCCCAGTAATCTCAACTGATGAAGTTTCACTACTTCATCGATTGACTTTCCATTCTTACCTAGTACCCGTTTCCTAACAACTGAGTTACGTACTCGGTGGTCCCAGGATATACGAGCAATGTTTCGAAGACATCTATGGTCGAATACTAGTAACCTACGAATATCCCCTACTCTTACCGGCCATGTTTCACTGCCATAAAGTAGGACAAAACGAACTGCTTCACAGTGATTCTGTCCTTTGGTTGGTAAACGGATATCTTGCCTACGCCATAAATTACGCATGTTTTTGCAAAAGCTAGTCGATCCTCCTGTATCCGTACTGAGATTTCGTCACACACCAGACCAAAAGGGCTGATGAGACTTCTAAGATAAGGGAAGTGGTCGACACGCTCAACTACTTTACTATCATTAGTTCATGTGCCGATGCAACCCAGTCCTGAAGCAACACTTTACATTTCGAGGGGGAGAATCGCATCCCGAACTAGCATGCATTCTTGCTTACGGTGGTCAGAAGACTGCATTGTGTCAACGTCTTTACCAAATAGAACTATCATTGGCATAATCTAGGTCAACAAGTGAATCTCCCGGTAAAAGTTCAACTCCTAGGAAATCGGATGAAGAAAGTGTTATCTCTAGAAACACGTCAACGACAAGGTTAAGTAGGAATGGAGAGAGTGGACAGTCCTGACGAACACCACTTGAGGTAATCAATTCTGATGCCAGTTAGCCACAAGTTCTCACTCAGCGAGTTGTGTTCGAGGAGAGAGCCTGTATAAGGTTAATGTACTTTTTTGGTACTCCTGTCAGTGGCAAACACTGCCATACAACATCACGATCAACAGAGTCAAATGCCGCTTTAAGGTCGAGAAATACTACTATATTGGGGCGTCTGAATATGTGTGTTCTAGGACCTGATGTAGCGTGCGACTTTAGTCTCGCCAGTAGACTTCACCAGTTGTCGACATTAATAGCACCTCGTGATGTCGACTAGGTTAATAAATTTGAAAAATACCGACGTTTTCTATAGTGGATAATCACGGGGTGCAGTGACAGATTGAGTAACGATTGAAGTGTGAATCTTGTGTACAGATAGAAAATTAGCTGATGCAAAGCACTAGTACTCGCGATGTTTCTTACAATTAAAAGTAAATGAAAATTGAGACAATATGGTCGATTTCTTTAGCTGTCGTTCACTTGTGGATTGTCGGTGAATACAGTAAGATGGTAGACTGAGCTTCGCGAACATTATATAAATATTTATTTAATTGCACAGAACCATGATTAAAAATTACGTTCAAGGTTAATCAGTAAGAAGTACTGATGAAAAAACAACGATCTCCCATACCAGAAGATCTATTAGAGTAAACTACATCAGTTCATTGACTGCCACAATCATATTTCTTAGGGTCTCCTTGGACAATTAGCTTTTTGGTTATGCTTTTGGATTTCATTCCACTTATTTAGAAGTTGAATTAAGAATGTAATTGTTAAGAATGACTACCGGACAACTAATGAGATCCAATAGGATGAATTCAAGGATAAATGTATCTGCCTTTTAAATCAGTGATCGTAACTGTCCCGCACTCAAGAGAAAGGTAGTCCGCATGTCATATCTTAAAAGTTTCCATCTTGCCAAACTAAAAAAAGCATTTCTTTTGGCTGGCTGAATACACTATTAAAGAAAACTATATAAGGAAATCTGACTAAAATAAACTACTTTCCTTCGTTCTTCATTTTTGTAAATCATGTTTTATGTATGACCCAAACCAACCTGATTGAAGTCAATGATAAACGCAAAAAATCTTATGGAGTTTGTTGTAAATCAGTACAGGAAAGTACACGCATCTATAAAGTGAAAGTTAATGGACTGGCTGTAATGTATACTATGACATCGAACTACTTAGTACTAATATCCATACAAACACCAACAATTGTATAAACAAGCGCCAATATATATATATATATATATATATATATATATATATATATATATATATATATATATGCACTATACAAACCATTGGATTTGTGTGGGCTAGTATACTGCACGGGTGCCAAAACCGAAGCAGGTGGCTTTCTTAGGAGGCCACTCCCTAAGCCTCTGGCCTAGAGGTCTTATCCACAAGGCAGTGGAGCGATGGCAGATATGTCTCCATGGAACTAGTGGACAAAAACACGTTTATACGCCATTTGTCGGAATTAGGGTTTCCCAACTTTTCTAGGTGTATTCTTTAAACCTATCAACCTGAGTTAGGCTTCGCTTTACGCCTATACTCCTTTGAGTGACAGGTGCAAGTAATTCCGTAAATACCCCTACCACTAGAAAGCAATGAATTGGGCATTCCTGGTAATAAGTATATACACGTGGTCGTATGAGAGCATTTCAATGGGTGCCTAGGGTTGTTCAGGCTAGGTTATGGAAAGCGCTTATGTGACCTGCCGACTCGAAATCAGTCAGGAATCTTAGTGTACCAACTTTACTCGCGATATATTTTAACGACGTACCTGGGCGCACAACTTCGTTTGCGGTGTCGCCTTGAAGGACTATGTTCACGACTCCTCGACCGACGTTTACCATCAATAATGTAGCTAGGTGCTGGAGATACAACCATAGAAGAGTTCTTTTTTGTTTCGACAGTGAGTTGAACGCCATCTTTAACTGTAGCAGCATTCTTAGTTTCCTCCTGAGAAAAGAAACAATCTATCATACAGACCTAAATTCACAAAACACTAAAAGCACACTTCAAAATTTGTTTAAAAAACAATCACCATTGCAATGACTCACCAATTAATTAACTACAACTTTCGGTGGTCCTTATGACACCATTAGGCCTTGGCAGAACGGAATTCAGACACCAGAGTCATCTGAACTGAACATCGAAGGTCCGAACGGCATAGGGACTGTTATTCACTGTGAGCAATGAGTGAAGTTATAAAAGCAAAGAAGTTGTAATGTATTGCTAAATGTACGCGCAAATACTACAAGTATCGAACACGATTTCGAAACTTGTTGGCAATCGATTTGAATGGTGAAAAAAGAATCCAATCGAACGACAATGACAGATCCACAAACGTTCACATTCCCTATGGTTAGCGAATGGACTCTCACGATATCGATCTGTCGCCATGAGTCATGGCCTACATGAGATTAAAGGCCACTACTTGCATGACAGAAAATGCTGCAATAATAACTGTAAGTCTGGTAAATTGGTTTCGAAAGTAAGAGTACCGAAAACGTCGTGTGTTTAACACGGGACAAATCATGCCTCTCTTTCGTGAGGAAACACGTACACTCAGTGCGTTTCAAACCAAATATGAGTCATGCTTTGGGCACCTTAGGTAATAGCCTGTTTTACTTAATATATTACACTTCTGCACGAATAAGGGTATTAAGTAACCAAATGGTTCTATTATCTCTCCACAATAAAACCCGGACTAATAGTACAAACCAAACAAGAGCTATTCTTAATCAGTTTCATCCTGAAAGTATTATCTACTATCTAGTATTATCAAATATCCACTCGTATTCAATGTTACTATTCACTTAGCAACTTTATTATGCATTTCGAACGCGTATTACCTGGGATATCAAAGGGCTCTTTGGACTTCTTCGTGTCTCTTCAACACTCCCATCATCCGAAGACTGCTGTTAGGACAACGATTATAAAGCTTAATGGTAAAAATTGTACTAACCAATGACGAGTCATAGTCACAAAGCATCGCACTTGATTCCGCCATTTACTAGCCAACACATTAAAACAATACGCTAACACCTATACAACGAGACATAAAGAATTAATTTATCGACCCCAATGTTTTTTCTGGTTTTAAGATAGATTCAACCATTTGAATGATAAGAGAACAAAATACGTTCTTAAAGGTAATAATTTGATATTGTAAGGACAGGTAGTGAGTTCACTCGTTCAGGTATCATCAAAATACGGGGGAACAAAAAGATAAAATGATTAGTTGGGTTTATGATCGATGATTATGTTCCAGTAGTGGCTTGTATTTGTTGGAATCAAGACTTTAACTCAACTGGCTTCCAAATAGCAAAAACTCACAGTCACTGATGTTTTTCCAACCGACAGAACTTTAAAGTTAATTCATCCCTAATTTATTATAACCAATGTTACATGAAATAATTTCTCATGTAGCGGTAAATAAATCCCTGAAATAAGTAGTTCTGTAAGTCTTCGACATATGATGCTGACTGCATTATTTTACTGGACTCACCTAGCTGAAGGCGGTTGGTCACGCATACGCACCAGATCATGGCCGGGCACGCCGTGATATACCTCCCTTCTGATTGTTAGCCAGCTTAGAGCAATCGTTTCTCGATATACCGACAACCTTCTAAATATATATTCGAACTCCTTTATTTCCGACCTCTGATTTGACTGGGTTGATGTACTTCAAATGTAAAAGTGTTACTGGTGAAGAGGTTGTCAAACTCTGAATACTTGTGGCACTTTTTGAAGTGAGACAGACGTGATCTGATACACCTTTTCTTAGATTATGAATCTGTTCCTGGTTGGAACACTATGTATGATTTTTACTTGTTATTTTTATATATTATGATGGCTTTTTAGTACTTTAAAACATTTTACCATGGCAGAATATACTCCTAATTTACTTAAGACCAAGAGTCTTTCGCCTCCCTCACTTGATCTAGTGCCATTTTGGTCCGATAACATCGAAGGCAGGTTCTGCTACGCAGAAGCTGACTTTCACAAGCATGGTTGATCAGACCAACTTGCACAATTCCCCGTAGTAGTGAAGACACTACTGCACGATTTCAACAGGTATAACACACTTAATGTGTTTACCAGTGGTGTTTCGGAACCTTACGAAACTTTAAAAAGGGCTATTCTCATGCGTGGAGATCTGATCGACTGACAAATATTAGACCTGCCCTGACACAATATCAAACTAATATATGGCTCAGCAACAAAAATGTTGCTGCTCATGCGGGAGTTTATTAGACAACGGCCCTTTAAAGAAAGCTAGTTTAGACGGATTTTCTTGTCTAATCTTCCTCAGCAGGTGATGCAGTGCTTGTCTTATTTCAAAACAAATCTGCAGAAGAGCTGGCTGCATCTACCGACCGAATTTCGGGGATCCCCGGAATTTCCAACACTGAGGTCTACTCAGTCAAAGATAACACTCAAGCGACGCGAAGTGACGTTAGAAAACTCTGTCATACGCTTAGACGTTGCTTACCAGTCGTCATGAGCGTAAACGCTCGCAAACTCCTAGAAGGAGCTACACACGAAAATGGTCTGTCTCCAGATCACGAGAGACATAACCAATATGTAACACACCACATTGACCTGAGTTCCAATGTAGTGTTTTTCGCAGTTAGCACAATTTATTTTGTAGATGATGTCTGATTTGTCTTCTTTTGTCGGACAAAGCGGACGCCCTCTTTATCTTCGCCTGCAGGAACATCAATTAGCAGTCAAATGCTATGATATGCCCTCACATAAATCAATCCACGTGGACAACTGCTGACACACATTCGACTGGAAACATGTGGAGATTTGGGACTTGGGCATTTCTAAAAACGCCAGAGAATTTTTTGGAGCTTGTCACTCAGGTCAATCAACAATGAAAAACCACATTTAAATCGATCCAATTTATCAAACGATCAGGAAAATTATGCACAAACATAGGAACAAAGGGCGATACAATCAAAACGAAGTAGACAATAGCAGGTTTTAGGTCAACAAGAACCAGTCAACATCAAGGTGTACAGAACAAGCTGTGAAGCACATGCGGAGAAATCCGAATACTTCGCTTCTATCTGAAGTTTGTGCTGCTGATGTCGCTCAAAAGAACGATGAAAGCTCCACCACCAAACCATCCAGCTCAGGGGACAAATTCCATCAAAAACCCCTACTCAGGTCGAGAAGAATAATAAGGGGAGCGAAAACGGTCTCATGTCTTATTTAGGCGACAGAAATTCTGGCTTAAATATCTGGTGGATAGTGGTACGTTGCTTAGTATCATCCCTTAGTACAAAACTGAGATGGGTCAGCAAACGCCGCCAGTTAAGTTTCAATTTTCCAAAAAACCAAAATCTCCATATTCAAGAAAGAGTTCATGGTACTGAATTTCAATTTTTAAAAATAATTCTACTATGTGTTCACTGTAAAGAATCTAAAATTGGTAATACTTCGAATGAACTTTTTAGAGACATACAGTCCCATTCGACGCAAAGAATCGCGGTTCAACACTTTAGAAAGATTTGCGGTTACTCGGGCGACATAAAATCACGTCATTCCTTTCAATTTGAAATAGACTACGACATTAGCAACTGCAAAGTCACAAGATATACTAGCAAAATTTCCAAATTCGGTTAAGCTAAATTAATTGTTACTCCTTTATCAAAAAGACTTGCCACTGCACAGAGGGGTTATCATTATTTCTGATGGTAACAAACTGCCATTTACCTAGCCACCGAACCTTTTCGACACACGTTGAGCGGCAGATAATTCATTGTTCCCATAGTTTAGAAACCTGTGGCGTTTGAATGAACTAATGATTGCTTTGTACTTGTTGAATGTTTGATTTCGAATTCTAAATATAGTACAATCGTTAGTGTTTTTGTAGTACTTCTTGATTCAATTGCATTATCTCTAGAATTCTTAGTTCATACTATAATTCAATTACTCCTAATTATCATATTGGCGTCGCGATGGGGCCTGCGATGGAACAGTTAGATATTCATTCAACTTCTGAAGCTTTTGAAGACTATTTGGAAAGGTTTGAAATCTGGAGCATGACCAAGAAGATGATGCGGATATTAATATTGTGGCACATTTTCTCACATTCATTGGAAAAGAAGCATATGGCTTCACCGGAAATGCCCATTTGTCTTCCTTATACAACTCTCAAGGAACTACTTTTAGACTATGCTAAGTATACAAATTTCGAATGCGGTAAAGGGAGATTTCGTAAAATAATTTATGAGGACATAAAAAATTCCACTATATTACGTCACCCCATCCCAGTGCATACTCAAGGTTGTGCAGTTCACGAAGATGGGCACAAGTTTAGTCAATGTTTTTCTTGTGGCAAGTTCCACCCTTTTAATTCATGTAAATTTCGTAATTGTAAGTGCTTTAAATGTGTTGATGTCGGACATATTCAGTCAGTTTGTAATACTACTGGTCATCTTGCTGCAACTAATATTAAGTCTTGTGATTCTGATTCTATTAATTTGAATATTTATAATGATCATTTATCTTTATCAACGATTTCAAAAGACAGTTTAGAGTCATATAGCAGTTCACAGTTAAATAAAACTCAGGATTCTTGCGAGACAACAATTCCTAATGAATCAACCTATCAGATTTCTCATGTTATTGTACCAGATATGATTTTTTCTAATGATTCACATATTTCTGATGAAATTTCTTACAAATCTGATGAGAATATTTCAGATGATCGAAAATCTGATGTAGTTTTGATAGATGCTGATTTTTCTAATGATCCTTTGTTCTGTAATGACATTCTTAATAAATTTGAGGAAACTATTTCAGAAGAATCAAATCTTGATGTCATATCAAATATTATTTGTCTCATGATGCATTTGTTTCTTGTGAGAAACTTGTTCAATGCTAAGCACGAGTATTAAATGAGTTAGAGTTTGATTACAATTCAGATAATTCCATATCAACTGTTGTTTGTCCTTATCATAAATTCACTTCCAGTGTTTACTCTAGTCAATGTGAGAAAGATGTTTTAAATGAAGCCACATTATTCATAACTTGGGGATATGAAGACCCGACATTATTTCGTGGGGAAGGATAGTCTATGGTTCATATCCTAGGTAGTAGTTCCAGTATTCAACCGGCATGGTGATTGTTCACAATCCCAGAAATCAATTGAGTCTGTTCCAATTTCCGTTGTTAATTCTAATACTAATGAGTGGATCCTAGATAATGCAGAGTCTTTATCCAATACACTGTTGGACAGACACTGGATGAACTTAGGAAGAAGACGTGCAATCAATTACAGACACCTGGACTCTAATTTAATCTGTGGCGGATGTGGTGTTTGAATGAACTAATGATTGCTTTGTACTTGTTGAATGTTTGATTTCGAATTCTAGATACAGTACATTCGTTAGTGTTTTTGTAGTACTTCTTGATTCAATTGCATTATCTCTGGAATTCTTAGTTCATACTATAATTCAATTACTCCTAATTATCATATTGGCGTCGCGATGGGGCCTGCGATGGAACAGTTAGATATTCATTCAACTTCTGAAGCTTTTGAAGACTATTTGGAAAGGTTTGAAATCTGGAGCATGACCAAGAAGATGATGCGGATATTAATATTGTGGCACATTTTCTCACATTCATTGGAAAAGAAGCATATGGCTTCACCGGAAATGCCCATTTGTCTTCCTTATACAACTCTCAAGGAACTACTTTTAGACTATGCTAAGTATACAAATTTCGAATGCGGTAAAGGGAGATTTCGTAAAATAATTTATGAGGACATAAAAAATTCCACTATATTACGTCACCCCATCCCAGTGCATACTCAAGGTTGTGCAGTTCACGAAGATGGGCACAAGTTTAGTCAATGTTTTTCTTGTGGCAAGTTCCACCCTTTTAATTCATGTAAATTTCGTAATTGTAAGTGCTTTAAATGTGTTGATGTCAGACATATTCAGTCAGTTTGTAATACTACTGGTCATCTTGCTGCAACTAATATTAAGTCTTGTGATTCTGATT